GTTATGCTTTAAAATTTCACATATGTGGAATCATATGTACCATTTTGCAACTTCAGTTTGGTCTTATCTCTTAAGTAGTATGTTCCCAAAATTTATTCCTGTAAATCTAGTTCATTCATTTCAACAGGTGCATAGTATTCCATTGTATGAATAAGCCATGTTTATTCTTCCATTCTTTATTTATGGACATTTGGCTTACTGTCCATTTCCCCCTATTTCAAACAGTGCAGTAAAGAATACCTTTGTGCAAAAGAATATCATTACCCCTTGGCCAAAGGTACAATAATTTCTCTAGGTCTGAAGGATATACCTAGAAGTTTAATTAATATGCACATTTTCAGGTTTCCTAGGTGTTAGCATTGGTAGTTGTACCAGTTTGTACGAGCAATATATAAATTCTCTTTCCCCACATTCTTTCCCACAGTTGCTGTTATCAGTTTTCATATTGTTCTCCCCCACTCCCCTAATTCCATTGGTGTATAATGATTTCTCCTTGTCTTAATTTGATCCTTATGTTTACCTGTCTTTCCTTATACTTATTGGTCATTGAGATCTCTTCTTCAGCAAATTGCCTGATTATACTATTTGCTTTTTTTTCTGTTAAAATTTTTGCAGTAATCTTATTATATATAGGAATTTCATATATATTCTGAATATTTTAGTAATTCTATCTCCTCCCAATCTGTGACTTGTCTCAACTTTGCTTACGGTGACTTTTTTATGGTACAAAAGATTTTTATTACAATGTGTAATATGATTTACTAATATTTTCCCTTCTATTTTTAGTATTCTGCCTTTTAAGAAATCTGCTTTAGATTGACATCATAAAGATACTCACCTATTTTTTTTTAAGGGCTTAAAGCTTTATAGATCTTACAATCATTTTGAACTTATTTTTGTGGATGGTGAGGGGTAGAAATCTACTTTTACTTTTCCCTTGTGGATAAGCAATTATCCTAGTGACATTTATTGAATAATCCATATTAACTTTTGATTTTTTTTAATTTAGTTTTTATTTTCTAACAAATGTATGTACAAAAGACAAATACTCAAGAATTCTACAGTCTATTTTAGAAATGAAAAATAGAAGTTCCCTGCTATTATACCTCTTAACCATTTTCTGCACCCCAGATATAAACATTATTTTATTCTTTTAGTCTTTATAAGGTAAAAAAAAAAAAAGGAAAGAAAAGAAAAGAAAAAAATTGTCTCTTAATAATATGCTTATGATATCAGTTCTTAATTTGTCATATTGGGACATTATTCTTTAAGTTTAAACTCTGGAAGTTGAGGGGTTTTTTTTGTTTGTTTGTTTGTTTCTGTTCTCCTAAAATAGTATCACTGTAATTTTGGTTCAATAAATATTCCAGATTTACATCATTTTCATTATGCAAACTATTTACAAATGAGCTAGGTACTATAGTTTAATTACCTTTCCTGCACATTTTTTGGTTTGTTTTTCTTGGAGTTATGGTCTTATTTTATTCATATATTTATTTTTTATGTTCTTTTCATAATTAACCTCAAACTTTCTCTTATATAGATCTCCTCTCATATTCAAACACTTCCATTTTATGACAATATCATCTTTTAAAAATTATTTTAATTGAGATATAATTGACATATAACAAATAAGTTTCAGGTGTATATCATAATGATTTAATATTTGAACATATTGAGAAATGATCACTACATTAAGTCTAGTTAACATCTATCACCTCACATAAGTTACAATTTTTTTCCTTGGGATGAAAATTTTTAACATCTACCATCTACTCTCTTAGCAATTTTCAAATGTATAATACGGTATTATTCACTATAGTCACCATGCTATACATTATATCCTCATGACTTATTTTTTTTTTATACCTGGAAGTTTGTACCTTTTGACTCCCTTTGCCCATTTCACCCATCCCCCAATTCTCCTATATATAAATGAGATTAAGTAGTATTTCTCTTTCTCTGTCTGACTTATTTTACTTAGTGTTCCCAAGATTCATCCATGTTGCTGCGAATGGCAAGATATCGTTCTTTTTTATGGCTGAATAATATTCCATTGTATATATATACATTTTCCTTATCCATTTATCCATTGATGGACATATAGATTGTTTCTATATCTTGGCTATTGTGAGTAATACTGCAGTGAACTTTGGGGGGGCGCATATATCTTTTCAAATTAGTGTTTTCATTTCCTTTGGATAAATATCCAGAAGTGGAAATGCTGGATCATATAGTAGTTCTGTTTTTAATTTTTTGAGGAACCCCCCATGCTGTTTTCCATAGAAGCCACACTAATTTACATTCCCACCAATAGTGCACAAACATTCCCTTTTCTCCACATCTTCTTCAACACTTGCTTTTTTTTGTCTTTTTGATAATAGCCATTCTCACGTGTATAAGGCAATATCTCATTGTGGTTTTGATTTGCGTGTATCATCTTTTTAAAGATGTCTGTCCCAGAAGCTTCTCACTTTCTCCAATCTGGACAAGTTATTCTCTAGGAGGTAAATGGCTGGTGTCTTGAGATCTGTTATCATTCTGGGAATTCCCTTTGCTTCCCTCTTGGATTAGATTGCTTGTTTTCTGGATCCCATTCTTCCTCTCTTGGCTTAATTCCCTTAATTCAGTGGAATGTATTCATTAGTAGCTTCCTAAGAAAGAGTACATGTTAGATAAAGTTTGGGGGACCTTTTGTGTCTGAAAGTACTCTCTATATAACTTGGCAAGGTATAGATTTTTAGATTAAATTTTCCTTAGATTACATTTTCCCTCAGAATTTTGAAGACATTACTTCATTGTCCTACTTTCTTGTAATGCTCTTGAAAAGTCAGAGCCATTTTATTCCTGATCTTCAGTAAGAGAAGACTGGAAGTAAGGAAGAAGTCTTCCTGAGCTGCAGAACATGAGTCCTTCAGTGCTAGAATCTGAAAGAAACTAATGTGTGTTCAGTGTCTTCTTGCCTGGGAGAGGTGGGCAGGGGACACCCATAAGGCCCCAGTGAGGAGAGAAGTCAATAAGTGGGGGGAGCCAACATTTTGGAAGCCTAAGGATACATGAGTTTCCTATGGGCCAAGTGAAGATAGTCAGGTTTGTGTTGTCTTCAAAGAATCTCCCCTAGGAGCTTCCTCATAGGTTAGGAGACCCCAGCAGTAAGAGTATGGGTGTACTTTCTGAGTCAAGATCCGGGGGTGCACAAGAGGTCAACTAGAAAGTGCACTGTTGTAGTGTGGAGGCTCCAAGGTGGGAGGTCAGCCCTCAAAGGGCCCTCAAATTTACATTTGGGTGCTTGCCACCCAGAGGACACTCACAGCCAGATTTCAACAGCATCATGGAGGGCTCAATGGAGATGTTTTCAGTCATACCAAGTTTGCCACACAAAGTACCACTTTGTAAACACTCTTGGAGGAAGTATTCCAGTAAGAAGAAAAGTAATTCTAGGAGACACAACCAAAGATATGGAAAATAAGGATAATTAGATAAATGTACTAAAGTGGGGTTTTTTTGTCCAAAAAATTATCAGGGTCCAAAGGGAAAACAAACAAACAAACAAAACCCAACAAAAACCTCTACCATTCCAGAATTAAAATTCTAGATAATATTAGGATGGGGATGAGAGAAGTAAAGACTAAAGGGATGAGAGTGTGTTCTAACAACACAGCCTCAAAATCTACAGAACATCATGATGATGTAAGATTTTTTTCCCCACCAGAAGTATAAGGATGATTCAACATCAGAAAATATCAGTAGATTACAATATATTTACAGTCTTAAAAATAAAAATCATATATTCATTTCAAGAGATACAGGAAAATTATTTAATAGTAGGCAGCTGATTGTGAGTACAGATGTGGTATGCTGGAAATGTAACAAGAAATGACCCACTTCCTCTTCTCTGAAGGCTGGTGAACTTACTGTAGACAACTCTACCTTGAGTTAAGGGTGGAAAATCTTAACTTTAAATGAAAATTAAGATTTGTTTTGTTTTATTTTGTCTTAGACTGGGTTCTTTAGAAACAGAGACTGACTGTAGAATTCAGGGCAAACATGTTTTTGAGGAGTATTCTTCAAAAAAAGTCATTAAGGTTAAGGATAAGAAAAGTGGAAAAGTGGGGCAAGGATATGATTTCAGGATACATGCCACAATAAGTTACACTACAGAACTGTCCCTCCTGGAGTCAGGGACTGGCCTCTTGTACCTTTGAAATCAGTTGTTGATATATATGTGGTGATGGGGCGGTGGTGGTAGTGGTGCTATGACTTCCCAAGAAAGTTGGCACCTGTCAGCTGAGAGCACTTCTCCTGAGAGAATTGTCTGGGAGCTATTCATTGACAACCTTCACAGCAGCTGAGAGGAGAGTGTACAAGCCCAGTAAATGGGATGAGGGCAGTGTAGAGAGGAACAACTTAGCTTCTACCACATAGAAGTTCATATTCATATATTCAGTTCAGTTCATATTTTGAACTGAAAATTCTAGTTTCTGGATCAAGATTGTATTTTACAATTTAAAGTCATTGTAGGATTTTCCACATCATGTGGAAGATTGCTTGTTTTTATCCAGAGGCAGAGGAAGATGTCCTCCAACTAAAAAGGACAGCACAAGACAGAAAACAAAACTAAAGTGGCTTTTTCTGATTACATCTCATGAATTCTGCATGCTCGATATACTACATGTGTATATGCATATATACATATTATGCATCTATACACATCATCACATTTCATGTCACACATACATGTTTGCACATATATACACATATGTATACATAGGTATTTTCTCTGTTGTCTCATCTTATATTCTATAGCTTAGAAAAAAAAGTATTATATTCTTATAATGATCTTATAAGTGGCTACTGTTAACATCAGTATTATATAAGCCTTAAGATCAAAATGGCTGTTATTCCTATAGCAAAATTGTAGATGATAGTCATATTTTCTTTTTAGCATTCTACTTGTTTGAAATAAAGTTGAAAAGAGGGCACTTCTTTTTCTGCCAAAGATCTGGAAACACTTTGTCCCTGGATGGACTTTCAGCCAAATGAGGATCTCCATAGGAATGGAAGAAATCACACGCTCTGCTCTAGGATCCTTCGTTTGCCAGGTCACATTGCTTTACTTTGGATTCCTACCATCTGAGAGAAGGTCAGTCCAAAGACCTAAGACCTACCATGGTGCTGCAGATTGCTGAGCAACACCATGGAATATGTCCTCTTGCATCTTTGCCAGGTAAGGATCTGAAGATGAGATGTTTGCATCCCTGGTGCCTCACATTTTTATGCCAAACCAGGACTGCACTGCAAGAAGTCTCTTTGCCAATTTTCCTTTATTAAAAAGATACTCCTCTCCATGCCCAAGAATAATATTATGGAAAAGGATAACCATTTAGCTGTGTTTGACCATGGTCCTAAGGAATTTAGCAGGATCCCACAGAATTCCAAACTACACATTTCTTAATTCATAAGCAATGGATGAAAAGTACATCAACAGACATGATAATAGAAAATGCATAAATCTTTAGAATGCTTTACAATGTCACTAGAATGTGAAGCATCAATATCATGATAGGTGTCATATACCATGGCTATATACACGGTATGGAAGCATTATATTTTGAGCAATAATAAAATATGCTTCTTTAGAAATTGTGAAAGCTGAGATGACCATTAAGGATTTGGCATTTCATTTTGCTGTATGGAAAGACATTTAGCATGTGGTTTCACACCCAGCCCTTGGGAATTGGTCCAAGCTCAGTGGTCCTAGACATAGTCAACATCCTCTTCTTCTAGAGTTCAGATAGCCCCACTAGCATTCAGAATCTCCAGGCACACACTGCACCATTATTTTAAAGTACATTTCTTAGTGCCAGACAACAGGCAAACACTAGTGAAGTTCCAGGGAGAGGCATGTTTATTTGTTTTCTGTGGTTCAGAAACCATTTCCGTTTGCTTGAATAAGACACTGTCTAAAAGCAACTTCCTTTCTTTTCCCATGGCTCCTTGAGATGGTACAAGAATGATTGAGAGGTGATCTCATTTTGTAGGAGGCACTGAGCAGAAGAAAAGTTTTGAAAAATTAACATAAATTCATTCTGTGGGACTCAAGGTTGGGTTTTTTTGTCATTGTTTGGTAATTCCTGTCTTCTGTCCCTCAATAAACACGCACACACACACACACACACACACACACACACACACACACCCCTTGGTTCTAATACTACATTATAAAGAAGATTCATCTCAGGATGAAGTTCTATCTTTTAGCCCGTATCACTACTCAGGAGAGGTCATAAGTGAGAAGAAAACAATGAGCAATGAAGTAGAATTAACAAACGAAGTTGCTGAAAATAAAACTTTGTTTATACGTGGATCTCTGTGTACAGAGAGACTTGCTATATCAATACTGGACTGCTAATCTGAAAATCTGGAGTCTGACCCCTCTCTGACACCCATGTAATTTTGGACAGGACCCATAATCACACTGAGCTTCAGTTTCCGTTTGTGTAAAATGCTGAAACTAGTTACGCACTTTGCTTACTCCAAATAATTATTGCTAGGTATCAAATGAGATAACAGGTGAAAATATGTCATGAACTACAAAGCACTTTACTAATATAAGATCCCAGTAGGACATAAATATGTTAAAGCTAGTGATTAAATTGGTTTTCTTAACTTTGTGAAACCTTCCTATTTATGCCCTGTGCCATGAGGCCCTCAATTCCTACTTAAAACTGGTCTCCTACCTCCAGTCCCATACTTCAAAATCTTTTCAATCTCTCCTGTAATTTGAAATCTCCCTAAATTGCCATTTTCCAGCGAAATGTCTTAACTCTTAGATGTCACTCAAATCCCATGTGGTATTTTAAAATAATAAAAATAAGATGCCATGGTAAAGGAATAATGTGGATGCTAATGTAATCTAGATGTCAGTTTAGATCTAACTGTCGCTTGAGAATCTGGAGGTCTGAACAAGTTGGTTCCTACTCCCAATTCCATAGCCCATAATTGATCAAAATAATGTCATATACATTATTGAGAACAGGTTTCCTGAAGATTGCTAGATTGATCTGGTCCTTTTTTTTTTTTTTTCAAATGACAGAAACTCAAAATATCTTTAAAAAATAAATAGGTTCACTTACGTAACTGAAAAATGGAAAGGTAGTATGACTTCAGGCATGGCAAGATCTATTGATTCAGATTATATCAACAGAATTCTTTTTCTTTTTGCTTTACTTTTTTCTGTGTTGTCCTCACTCATAGGCAGTCCTTCTTTGTTTGATAGATAGACATGCTGATGAATGATTTATTAGCAGTTAATTTATTAGCAGGATTTATTAGCAGTTAATCACTGCTGCAAGTAACAAAAAATAAAATAAAAATGATTTAAATGAGATATTTCTTTCTCACTAATGTGTCTAGATGTAAATAATTTAGGGCTGGTAAGACAACTATGTCCCATGACATCTTCAGGTACCCATTCTTAAAACTTTCTGAATGGCTATTTCTCAATCACCCATTGGTGTAATACTAGGAAGGGTTTTTATTTTCCATGACTCTTGTAGGTAAATATTCATCATCACCACAACCTAACCACATGTTGTCTTTTTTTTTTTTTTAAATCATTATGAGGTTATTATAAACTTAGGGACATTTACTAAATCTGCTATTTAGAAAACTGCTATTTTTATCAGGTTAGTGCTTTCAACCTTGGCTGCTACACGTTAGAATCACCTGAAGGAGCTTAAGAAAAAAATGGATTCCAAGATTCCATTGTTGACCAATTAAGTGAGAATAGCTAGGGAATGGGGCCTGGTTTGTTTGTTTGTTTGTTTAAATATAGGTATTGGGGCACCTGGGTGGTGCAGTCGGTTAGGTGTCCAACTTGGTTTCGGCACAGGTCATGATCACAGGGTCTTGAGATCGAGCCCCACATAGGGCTGTGTGCTTAGTTCAGAGTCTGCTTAAGACTCTTTCTCCTCCTCCCTTCCCCATCCACCACCCCAGTCTCTCAGTCTCTCTCTCTAAAATAAATAAATAAATCTTTAAAAAAATAAATGTAGGTTTCATCACACTGGCCTCCATAAGCAACTAAAATTAATATCGATTGAGGTCTATGTGGACTAATTGGTCTTCCCTAAACAAAATTTGTCTAAAATGGAGTAAGAAAAAAGCAATGACTCAAATATAAAGTGGTTCTTTGCCTTGTATCCGGCACAAACATGATACAAGTGTTCTCTAATGTCTCCATCATCTGCAGATGTAAGAATTCCAGGCATCTTCCTAGCCATGGGTATTTGGACTCATTCTCAAGAAGGATCCCAATTCCCTGTCCTTCCCATCTCTCTGACCCTTTGACTGGCAGGGCTTATTCTGTTGTTTGAATCCTGTGGTTCATCTTTGCTGATGAATAGCCTTAGCATCATTTCCATCTTGTCTAGACTAAAGCTCAATGCAGCACATACTGTTTAACAATTGAAAGAAATATCCTGAGATCAGACCTGTCCTAGGACACTCTTCTAAAGCTCCCAAGAGCCCAGAACTTGGCCTTATACCAAGCAAGTATATCGTGCTTGCCCAGTGTCATAAGTCCACCAGTGAACCTGTTTATTTAACTTGGGTCTTCTCTCAAATGACTTCACAAAATGTTAGTAACTAAAAGTCAGGTTCAGAAAGAATTTATTCTTATGGTCTGATAGGCATTTTCAATGACAGAAACCTGATTACTGAAATATCTGTGTCTCTCCACCCTTTTTCTTCAGCCATTGTTTAGAAGGCACCATATTTGACTCTAATGAAAATGTGAGGCACAAGTTTAGAGGCAGAACTGGCTGTTAGGAAGGACATGAGAATCACAAGGGTCGCCTGCTATAGCTGCTACTAGCTCTAAAAGGAATGAACTTAGTGTTTCACTAAGAAGAAAAGGAAAGAAAGAGCAGGGGGTGGAAATAAAGGATAGCATATCTTAACAAAAATGTTTTGGTGTAGCTGGTGAAGGAGAAAGATAAAGTTGATCCAACCATTTACATCGGGGACTGAGTCCTGCAAAATAACTACTGGCTGGATTATTACCTTCTTTCTCGTTACAATTGTAAATCAAATCCTGGGCTGGGTGGGTTCAGATACCTCTAACCTGTCAGGGCATGTGCTAATAATCAGGGTCCTGTTGCCTGTGTTTTACTCATATACCACAGCACCCCTGCAGCTAACCAGTATAGGGTCAAGTTTTTGCTGAGTTCACTTGTCAAGGGGGATGGTGGGTGCTGTTGTGGGCCTCCCAAGAGCTGCCTCTAAGGATCAGGGTCTTCCATGGAGGCAGTCTGGTGGGGAAAGAGTCTGGCTTTGAAGCCTGATAGATCTGCAGTTTCCTGGTTGTGAGGGGGCAGTGAAAAATGCCTAACGTTGTGTAAAAGGGGCTCAATAAATGATATCTGTAGGAAGAGAAGATACCAGGAGGGAAATCATAAGCACAAAGTGGGTGCTGAGGCAACAAACATATCAGCAGGGGAATTTAATTTAGGAAGTGATCAGAGAGGAAAGAAGGCTGAGAAAGGTTGACAGCTGTGGTTTTAGAGAAGGATGTGAATTTATTCATTTTTTTCTCTCTTGCATCAATCTTCATGAAAAGTGGTAATCTTTGACTACCCATAATCTTGTCCCTTTCCACAAGTCAGCAAAAAGTAGTACTGTAATGGACCTGGATCTTTCTAATTATGACTCTGACTCTCCCCACTTAACTGTTCATACTATTATAAATAATATACTGTTTTGAGTCTTGGTTTTCTCATCTGTAAAAAGGGTGAGAAATATATGTCTTTTTCTCTGGGAGTTTCAAGGCTCAAATGCAGTAGTGTTTATCCATTTTATTTATCTCATTTATTCATTCAACAAATACCCATTGTCTACGATGCACCAAGCATTGCTGTGGGTGTGGGGGATATAGAAGTGAACAATGCAGGCTAACATCCCTGCTTTTATGGAGCTTACATTTTAGCAGTAGGAGAAAGATAATAAAGAAATAAGCAAATGTCTAATATGTCAGGTATCGACAATTGCTATGAAGAAAATACATAGCTAAAGGGATAGAATTACTGAAAAAACTTTGTAAACTATGAAGAACTACACAAAATTAAGATTTTACCCTATTTAGATTTGATTGAATAATAGGATTAAGCTCAAGGTCTTTGACACTGGAGACTGTATTTGACTTTTTCATACAAGAGGAATTTCTGTTATTGCTCATTACAAGATCAGCTTTTTTTAAAAGGCCCCATTTTCCCACCTTTTCCTAAGTCCTTATATTGGCATGAGGCTTCTAGGAAATGACTCATACTCTTTCAGAGAGAAATTTAATTCAGCATCAGAAGTATCTAGGATTTGAGAGTTTCATGAATCTTAATTCCAATCTTTATGTCTTTGGAAAGTTATTTTTCTTATATTGCCTAATCCCCATTTTGGAAAATAGGAGCAATCTTTCTTTTTCTTTCTTTTCTTTTCTTAACCTTTCTTTCTTTCTTGTGAACTACTAGAGATTTAAAAAAAAAACAAAAACACAAGATTTTATTTATTTATTTTTGACAGAGTGAGAGAGGACAACAGTAGAGGGAGAAGGACCGCTGAGCAGGGACCATGAGATCATGACCTGAGCGAAAGGTGGGTGCTTAACCATCTGAGCCACCCAGGTGCCCTACTCAGTGCTTTATATTGTTTTTATATTGTTGAAGAGAGAATCATATTATCTTTATAGGTGCTATGTATTGAATATTAATCTTCAATAGAGGTTACACTCAGTTCATTTTATGTAATTTCTTGATTAATGTTAAAAGTGTACTTCTCAAACATTTATGAATGTGCCTCTAAATAGAAGACATGTCTTTGAATAGAGAGAATAGCAAATCACTCTTATTCTTTCACCAGGGTGGATGCAAATAAATTAAAAGTGAAGCTAGAAGCCAGTTGCAGATTTTATTTTCTTGCAGAAACAGAGTACTCTCACCTAAATGTCCAAGTACTACCAACTCCACCTGGAAGGATTGCTTCCATATGATCTGAGTTAGTTGCCTTTGGGCATAAGGTAGTGTAATTTGAATTAATTCAGATACTCACTCCATTAAGCTGGGCTACTTTTAAAATGGAACTCCCCTATGTTAAAATTCAGTAGTAACTGTTCATTATCTCTCATTCTAAGATGCTTTATTAAATGCTTTTTAGACAGTCTCAGTTGCCACACAGTAGGTGACCAACAGAAATATTTCCCAAGCTTATTTAGCAGTGACAAGACATTAACTTTTTTTCAAAGTTCAAGGAGGTGTTGATGGATGCATCGATGCTGTGAAAAACTAGAGAAGTCTTCCTTCACTTGCTCCCTGGACTCAAAGAACAAATATTAAAAAAGTCAATAGAGTGTTTTATAAAAGGATGTGCCCTTAAAGTGAGGGGCAGGATACGAACTATATTGTGACTTTGAAAATACCATGCTTTGCACCAGTAATCAAATTATTAGCTTTAAATTGTCCTCAAAGCTTAAATCCAGGGACTTTTCTCTATGTTTGTTTCTCCAAAAATTTTTGATTTGTATGAAGTGGGGAAGACCCTTGCATTTTTATTTTTAAATACTGCTAAGAAGGCTAGAAATTAAGATAACATTGAGATCCTAAAATCTGAAATCCAATTTAATAGTCTCAGTATGAGGGTGAATATTTTTTAAAGCAACAGTTCATTATCACTTCCCTGTCTTCAATCTATTCTTTTTTTTTTTTTTAAGGGAAATAAAGGTTTTATTTTTTTGCATTTTGTTAAAAGAAAATAAGGTTCTACATGATACAAACACCAAAGCAAACACTGATTTAATTGGGTATTTAAATATTTGCTGAAACATTATTTCTTTCTCAAATCCTACTTAAAAAAAAAATCAATTACTTGCTTTGAAAAGTAGAAATTTTTTTTAAGTTTGTGTGTGTCATAATTTCCAGGATGAAACTTGCCTTTTTAAAACTGAGGATAAGAGACTAATGACCCGTTGCATTTTTTCTTTCATATTTTTCCTACCTTTCCTCTCCACTTCTCAACAGGCTGTGTCTTTGTGCACCTGAAGGAAAAGACAAACATCTTTTTTTGAATAAAGCTGTCCTATACAACTTGCGGACATTAAGTGAGAGGAATTCTCTCAGGCACACCTTTTCCCCCCATTTCCTCCCACTATCTTGACCAGAGTTTCTCTCTACACATACTCCAATCTCATAACCTGAAAAGAAAAAGAAAACATTGTTCCAGCTCATACTGGTTTGAAATAGGCCTTTGAGCCCTATTTACAAAGAGTCATTTCCATAACAATATCAAAGCCCTCAATTTCTATTGGTGTTATAAAGAGGAAAATCTCTCATTCAAGTGACCCTTCAGACCTGTATTTTTTCCAAGGTGTAAGATCAGACGTGAAATGAACCTGTAAAGAAAGTGGTTGGGAAAAACCAATAAGCACACCCTGGGATTCTTTCCTGGCCTGTTAAGGGTTCCTTGTAACCCTTGGCTCTATTTGCATTAGTCTTCTGTTGAATGTAAGAATTAGAGAAAGCACTTTAAATAAGGAAATTGAAACTCTATCTACTTCTATTCTAGATTCTATTGAAAGTCTAGGGACATCTAATAAAATAAAATCACATTTGTATAGGTAGTGGCACTTCCAAGAGATTAAAAAATCCAAATAATTGAGGAATTTGCATGATATTTAAAATGCAGTCATATCTGTTGTCTCTTTAATACCGATGAAAGCCATCCTACAAAAGGAACTTCAGTATTTTCAGTAAACTTAAAAACAGGAAACCTTTTCATGGTGGGATTTTGAGTATTAATTCTGCTTTTAGTATTTTTCAAAACACTGAAGATAGTGAAATAAGACATAAATGTGCTAAACTTTAAATTTTTTCACTTTTCCAAAAGCTGTTTTGAGTTTCTGGTGGCATTTCAGTCCTTTTCTTATTTTGTGGGAAGGATTTTGGCTATTAAACTGCACAGTGAATCTGACCGTTAAGAGTAAGAAAATCTTGGATGCACATTGAACCAATGCTATAAACTTTCTTATATGTCTTCAGATGCTTTGGAGGAAATTACATGAGACAAGGAGACTGGTTCCCTACCCACTCCCCTGCCATTTGTGAAGTAAAAAGTACCTTTGAACACAGAGTTTCATAATAATTGCATAATTATTTTTGTTTTCTCATCAGAGCCAGCCTGCTGCTGGTGAGGTACAGCAGTCTAAAAAGAAGTCATCTGAGAATGGAATTCTAACAACTTAAGAAATATTTCCTGCAGCCACCCCTCTTCTTTCCAATTTGCAAAAAGCCATTTCAAAAATTTCTGAACAGTGACACTATTAAAAAAAGTAAACTACAGGCCAATATCTCTGATGAATGTAGATGCAAAAATCGTCCACAAAATTCTAGCAAACTCAATCCAACAATACATTTAAAAAAAATCATTCTCCTCAATCAAATGGGATTTATCCCAGAGATGCAAGAGTGCTTCTATATTTACAAATCAAGCTACATCATACATCACATTAAGAAGAGAAAGGATAAAAACCATGTGATCATTTCAGTGGATGCAGAAAAAGCATTTGACAAAGTACAACATCCATTCATGATAAAAAACTGTCAACAAAGTAGATTTAGAGGGAACATACCTCAACATAATAAAGGCCAAAGACGAAAAACCCACAGCTAACATCATACTCAATGTAGAAAACCTGAGAGCTTTTCCTCTAAGATCAGGAACAAGACAAGGATGTGTACTCTTACCCCTTTTATTCAACATAGTACTGGAAGTCCTAGCCACAGCATTCAGACAAGATGAAGAAACAGTGCTTGCTTCTACAGCCATATACTAAAAAATTGAAATGATACAGGGAACATTAGCATGGCCTCTGTGCATGGAAGACATACAAATACGTGAAGTGTTCCATATTTTAAAAAAATCAATCAATAAAAGGCATCCAAATTGTAAGGAAGAGGTAAAACTTTAACTATTTGCAGATGACATGGTACTGTATATAGAAAATCCTAAAAATTCCACTAAAAAACTACTAGTACTAATAGATGAATTCAGGAAAGTCATAGGATATAAAATTAATATACAAAAACTAGTTGCATTTCTATGTACTAATAATGAAGTAACAGAAAGAGAAAATAATAAAACAATCTCATTTACAGTTGCACTAAGAAGAACAAAATACTTAGGAATAAACTTAACCAAGGAGGTGAAAGACCTGCACTCCAAAAACTATAAAACACTGATGAATGAAATTAAAGATGGCATAAACAAATGAAATATGTTCCATGTGCATGGATTGGAGAAACAAATATATTAAAATGTCCATTCTAGCCAAAGCAATCTACAAATTTAATGCAATCCCTATCAAAATACCAACAGTATTTTTCACAGAACTAGAACAAATAATCCTAAAATTTATGTGGAAACAAAAAACAAAGCAAAACAAAAAAAACCCAACCAAATAGCCAAAGCAATTTTGAAAAAGAAAAACAAAGCTGGAGGTATCACAGTCCCAGGTTCTAAGATGTACTACAAAGCTGTAGTAATCAAAACAGTATGGTACTGGCACAAAAATAGACACATAAGTCAATAGAATAGAATAGAGAGACCAGAAATAAACCCACACTTATATGGTCAATTAATCTATCACAAAGGAAGCAAGAAGATACAATGGGGAAAAGACAGTCTCTTCAACAAATGGTGTTGGGAAAACTGGACCACTTTCTAATACCATATATAAAAATAAACTCAAAAAGGTATAAGGACCTAAATGTGAGACCTGAACTGTAAAATTCCTAGAAGAAAACATAGGCAGCAATCTCTTTGATATCAGCAACATTTTTCTAGATACGTCTCCTCAAGCAAGGGGAACAAAAGCAAAAATAAACTATTGGGACTACACCAAAATAGAAAGCTTTTGAGTGAAGGAAAGCATCAACAAAACAAAAAGACAACCTACTAAATGGGAGAAGATGTTTGCAAATAATGTATCTAATAAGGGGTTAATATCCAAAATATATAAAGAATTTATACAACTCAATAGCAAAAAAACCCAAATAATCCAATTAAAAATGGGCAGAAGAAGGCACCTGGATGGCTTAGTTGGTTAAGTGGCTGACTCTTGATTTCAGCCGAGGGTCCTGGGATCCAGCCCTGTGTCAGGCTCTTCATTCAGCAGGGAGCTGCGTGAAGATTCTCTCTCCTTCTCCCTCTGCTCCTCCCCCTGCTCTCTCTCTCTCAAATAAATAAATAAATCTTAAAAAAAAAAAAAAGGGCAGAGGACCTGAATAGACATTTTTCCAAACAAGGCATACAGATGGTCAACAGAAACATGAAAAGATGATCAACATCACTCATTATCAGGGAAATGCAAATCAAAACCACAATGAGATACTACCATACACCTGACAGAATGGCTAAAATCAAAACCAACAAGAAATAATTAGTGTTGGTGAGAATGTGGACAAAAAGGAATCCTTTTGCATTGTTGGTGGGAATGCTAGCTGGTGTAGTCACTGTGGAAAACAGTATGAAGATTCCTCAAAAAATCAAAAACAGAATTACCAGATGATCCAGTAATTTCACTACTGGGTATTTACCCAAAGAAAATGAAAACACTAATTGAAAAGATATATGCACCTCTATGTTTATTCCAGCATTATTTACTATAGCAAACTATGGAAGCAGCCCAAGTGTCCATCAGTAGATGGAAGGATAAAGAAGATGTGGTATATATACATAATGAAATATTACTCAGCCATAAAAAAGTGAAATCTTGTCATTTGCAAAACATGGACGGACCTAGAGGGTATAATGCTAAGTGAAATTAGTCAATCAGAGAAAGACAAATACCATGTGATTTCACCTGTGTGTGGAATTTAAGAAACAAAGCAAATGAACAAAGAAAAACGGAGACAAACAAAAAAACCAGACCTTTACTATACAGAACAAACTGGTGGGAGGGAAGGTGAGTGGGGGTGTGGGTGAAATAGGGGGATTAAGAGTACATTTATCATGATGAGCACTGAGCAATGGATAGAATTGTTGAATCATTACATTGTACACCTGAAACTAATATAACACAGTATATTAATTATACTTGAATAAAAAAATTTCTGAGCAGTGATATAGCTACACAGAATGAAGTACTAAAATAGTAATTCTATATAATCATGAGTAGATTAATATTAACTCCAAATTCTATGTACTACTAAAATAATAAACCTCTGCATTGTTTTATAATTTTAATATATATATGTATATATATACTATCTCCTTTTCCAAAGGACTAGGAAACTTTGGGTATATGACTATGTTACAAGGACAAGTAAAATACTGTACTTGAAGACATCAGGCAAAATTCTTTGGCTTACTCCATTTGAATGGCTTGGGCAGAGTTGACTTCTTGTGACTTGGTTTCTCTAAAAACATGGATAAAGAGACCCTTGGCTAACAATCACAAGTGTTCAAAAGTCTCAAAGTTAAATTTTCCTTCTGATAGTTGTAACTAGATGAGAATAAGGAAATATGGTAGATGAAGAATATTTTATAAAATGAAGACATCTAAGGTTTTCTCTTAGAGCTAATTAGTAGACCTTTTCCCTTATGTCTGGTCTGAGCAGTTTTGCAGTCAATACCTTGGACTACAGAGCCCACTGTGTGGTAAGAAATTTTTCATTTTAGGTGTCATGTTCCATCTCACTGCTATTATCATGCCACACTGCTCAATTTTGGAAATATGTTTTTATTATTATTTTTAAATTCTTAGAGTATTTTGGGCATAGTGGGTACTTGTTAGACTTGATAATGATGGTCAATTTTTTTCTCTTTCTGTGTTATATATAAGATATTTCTGTAGTCAATATTTTTTTCAAAATATTTTATATTTGCCTTGTGTTAAAAAAGGAGACTACTTTATTGGTGATCATAAGCTGAGTGTAGTGAACACAGGTTTTGGAGTCAGGAATTTCAACCCTGGCTTTACTAAATATTCTTGGGTAAGTTATTTAACCTTTCTGACTCTCAGATTTCACATGTGAAAATTATAAATAATAATGCACAATTCTCAGTTTTTTTCAAGACAAATAAAAAAATATGCCTAGTATAGTGCTTAACATACAAGTGATTTATTTTATTATTGTTATTATTCTTAATAGAAATAAGACCCTACAATATAATTTTGTTTAAAACCTTCTTTGAAGATTTTTTTTTTATTTGAGTTGACTAGGGGCACCTGGGTGGCTGAGTCGGTTAAGCGTCTAACTTTGGCTCAGGTCATGATCTCAGGGTCCTGGGATCAGGCTCCCTGCTCCACGGGGAGTCTACTTGTCCTTCTCCCTCTGTCTCTGCCCTTCACCCTGTTCGTGCACTCTCTCTCTCTCAAATAAAATAAAATAAAGTAAAATCTTTAAAAAAAAATAAATTGAGTTGACTAAGTGGAGTGACTAAATGGATTAAGTTTCCAAATTGTTTTGTTTCATGTAGATAAAATTAGTGATATTTTTGTCTTCTACTTTAAGCATTGGTTCGATTTTTATCAGAATCCATGGGTAGTGGGTATTTTGAATATGTGTGAAAGAAATATAACCTACATTGTCTTTCTGTGTCTTAATTTAGCTTAAGCCTTCATTGTGCTATTTGGGTTTTACCTACCTTTCCAGGGTTATACACAGGTTTTGGGGGCTTACATAATGACAGAGGTGGGAGTGGACAAACTCTCCCTTAGTAATTGGTACACACCAGTTGCTGCTTATAATTCTTTGGACAGAGATCAGGAAAAACTCCATTCTCCTTGCCAGATTCTAATTTAGTTGGTTATTTTCATAAAGCAATGAGTAGGTTAGGATTTTAGGAAACAGACATTAATTGGAAGAGTTTTTATAGCTATGCCTCTTTTATTTTCTGTTGAAAATAAAATTAAATAAAAATCAGATATATCCACACACTGGTTTCCCAGTGCTTTACTAATGAGGTTTCATGTTTTATTTTTTTGGTCTAAGCAACAAAGATGAATCTTTCCATATCCCTATTATGCCTTGTCTTTAGGAAATGGACAAAAATTTCATTCAGAGTTAAGTTCAAAAAACACTGCTTCCTTTTGACAGTGAGGTGTACTGCCTTTCTCTTTTATATCTGAGATGATTGGCAGGGATGACATTTGTTAGAATGCCCCTTTTTTGTTTGGGGCAACCTTCCTCTATTCTGTAGTGGAAATATTATGAAGTAGCAAGGTGTGGTGCCTCATGAGCTATTCCTTCTGGCATTCTTGATCTTACATGATCTTCTCCCATAATCAGTAGATTTGACCTGTGTAACCAATAGGATCTTGGGGGAAATAACAATGTACAATTTCTGAAGCTTGGTCATAAAAGATATTGTGGCTTCTGCCTTGTCTTCTCTTCAATCTCTCTCCCCAGGGAAGCCAGCCACCATGTTTTGAGAATTCTCAAGCAGCTCTGTGGAGGAGAGGAACTGAAGACAATCGCCAATAGCCAAGGTGAACTTGCTAGTCATGTGAGTGAGCCACCTTGGAAGTTAGATATTCCAGACTTACAAGGTGTCAGATGAGTGTATTCTTAGTTGACATTTTAACTCATGAGAGAGTCTGAGCCAAAATGACATAGCTAAGCCACTCTGAAATTCTTGACCTACAGAAACTGTGTGAGATAATAAATAATTATTATAATTTTAAGCCATTAAGTTTGGGAATAATTTGTTATTGCAGCAATAGATAACTGATACACAGGCGTATAAGAATTCTTATGAATAGATGTAAAGGCTTTGTCAATAATCCCTTGCTTTTTTCACTCCTTTTGTAATATATACAGATTATCTTTTGGGAATAAAATGGCTCAAGTTTTGTGGTCCTGCACTCTGCAAATGACAGTCCATCTTAGCCAAGTTCATTTTTTTTCTCCA